GGTCACCCAGCTGGCTTTGTGCCTAGGCAGGACTAGAACTCACGGTCTCCCAGTTTCTAGCTGATACTTTAACCACTACACCAAACTGGCTCTCATTCCCTTACTACCTGCTGTTAATTAAAGGAGCACTTTGTGGTAGGATTGCATGTTGCATTACACCACATTATTTAACCATGTTTATTTAACCACATTTTGCCAAATAAGCCAAAGTTTATTTAACCATATTTCACCAAATATTTCTTCCCTTCCCAAACAGGCTTAACAAAGTTAAAAACTCAAAATGTCTCCTTTCAAAAAGAAGAAGAAGATCCATCTAAATGTACAATTCAGTCCTTCCCTATCCACTGTAGCCTTGAGACTTCTAAAAGTTTAGTATTATCAGCAACTACCAAAAGTTGTCCATCCCTTTCATAAATAATTGCTTATATACTGCAGTGGCTGAGTTTTCACAGTACACTAATCCAGACCCAAACTAACTATATAATGGTTTAGCACAAACTTTACAGTTACTTGAAATCTATAGGTTGTGTGCTTTTGAATGTCAGTTGCTGGGGACCAGTAAATTGCAGAAAGTTTTTGCATTTGTGTTTTGCTTGTGGGCTTCCCAGAGGCATCTGGCTGGCCACAGTGGGAAACTAAATGCTGGATTTGATCAGTCTGTTCTTGCAGAGCTATTTTTATCCAGAGTCAAAGTAGGGTGGAGGTGTAAAAACAGAAGATATCTTTCACAAAACCAGCATTCTAAGTTCTTAAGAAAAAGATGCTGGTGTTTTTTAGTTTCTCATTTCTTGGGTATCAGTTTTGGTTACAACTATCTCAGTACAACTATCTCAGTTGGATGGCTGAAGGTTACAACTATCTCAGTTGGTTACAACTGAAGTTACAACTATCTCAGTTGGATGGCTGTTCTATGAGAGGTGTATAATTAGCTACATTTTTAAAATCTTTTTGACAGGCTTTACGTATGACAAATGTAGGCTTTGGTTCTGCCTAATCCCCTAAAGCTTTGATTTGCCATTTTTTCTCTGCAATGCCATTCAGAACAGTGGATGTAGCCATGCATGGTGAAAGTCAAAGTTAATTTATATCTGCTGTGTTTTCCAAAAGGAAACAGATGGTTGTAATGTTTGAGTTTGTCTGCTTTCCAGATAATATAACATATGTTGACTTACACTCCCTTGTTTTCGCACACTCATACAACCTTCCCATCCTTGTACCCTCCAAATGTGTGGGACTTAGAACCATGGGTGGAAAGGGACCGTGAACGTTATTTAGTCCATTTCCCTACTCACTGCAGGAATCCACTGCTGTAGCATTACTGACAGATGGCCATCTAACCTCTGTTTAAATGTTTGCAGTGTAGAAGGTCCTGCCTCTTCCCAAAGCAGTCTATTCCACTGTGTTTATTGTTAGGAAATTTTTCCTGATGTCCAACTGAGACCTACTTCCTCATAACTCCCCCCCCCTTTTTTTTTGTCTTCTAGAAGAATTTTGAATAATACTTCCCCTTCTACATTATAGTTCTTCGGAAATCTGAAGACTGCTATTCATACTCAGTGCCTCCAAGTGTTCCTAATAAGTCCCTCCCCACCAGCCCCTTCTCGTCTTGGTTTCTTTCTGGATATGCTCCAGTTTGTCAGAGTTCTTCCTAAAAAATTGTACTGAGAACCGGTTGCAATATTCTAGGCGCAGTCTGACAAATGCAGAATAGAGAGGAACAATGACTTTTGACTTCAGTCTGCATAGTTCCTTAGCTACTGCTGTAGGCTGTGCTCTGGCTGAAGATGTTGGATTTTCAGTTCAACACATCTGGAAGACCCCAGATTGGGGATCTTGATGTAATAATAATAATTAATTGTCTTCATTTTGCCTCTATCTCCTTTATCCCCAATACTTATAAAAACATTTATAATATCTCTTTTTAACAAGTAATGTGTGCATGCTTGCTTGTATGTCCAGTGATGATGTAATTTGAAATAGAAGGATGACCTATCAATTTTCCCACTTCCTGCTTTTATTTTTTTTTTGCCAACTCTCCACCAAAAGGCTTTCAGGAAGTGATGGGCTTCTGTGGGGGAAAGAATTAGGCATGGTTCAGCTCGTTTCTTATTCACCATTCCACCAACCACTTTTACTTTGCAGATGCTTGAGGGAGGCAATTTAAAAGCAACAAGGAATCTTTCCTGGAAAAAAACAGCTAAGACAAAGCTAACTGGTCTACAGTTCTGTAATCCTGTAAGTGATACAGCTGATTATCCAAAATTATCCCATAGCATTAAATCTGTAAGAGGATGCACATTCTTTTCCTTCACTGTCATATTTTTCTAGAAGTGACATGGCCAAGGTTCTCCCCGACCCCTTCTCTTTTATATTAATTAAAGCAGAGTTCATTTGCTTTATCATTCAGTTAAATAGTATTAAACATTATTATGTTAATAGGGGATTTTTTAAAAGGTTCTGCTCTCAGTGTTTACATCACAGTCTTCTTAAATTATATTAATGCCTCCTTCTTCCATTCTAATAATCTTTTGATTTGTACATCTCACTATAGTTTAAGACAAAAATTAACTAATATTTCAATTATTGTTTTGCACACTGGAGAAAAAGTAAATCTAGTTTCCTACATAAACATAATAAGGACACACTGATCTTAGGTGGTGCTTTTATGACCAGTTACTTGGGAACAGTAGTGGAAAGTTGTTATAAAACTCGTATCCTATTTGTAAACTTTTTGGATACGCCTGGTTGGCTAGCATGAGATACAAAATTCTGAAATAGGCTATATTGATCTAGCAAGGCTCTTACATTATAACATTTAGAAAGCAGGTTTCCACTTATGTAATGAGAAATAATCTGATCCAGCCATCTCCAGTGGCAGTGTTTCTGTTGAAAACATATTGTCACATGCCTGCAAAGTTGGCTTGCATTTGCTAGCCAATGATTGTTTGTGGTGACAAAAACCCACCATGTTTTCCTAAGTCTTCAAACATGCAGAAAGATTGGAAAGATAAATGGGGGCTACCCTATCCTTGTGCTGAGATGAGAAGGCTAACAGGAGTCTCTTCCATAGCTTGGAAGATAAAACTGCAATTTAATTTACTCCATACTATAGAGAGATGAACTCTTACCACATGTAAGCTGGTGAGGGGTGTTGTGGATGCTTGGATATTTTGATGTACCAGTATTACAAACACAGCAGTATACAAAACTGCCCTTAATCTCTGTTATGTTATTGATCTGTATAGGTCAGGTTATTTTCTGCTAATAGTAGCTAAGGTTTTCTGGCTGGATCTTTGCTGGGAAATGTCAAGGGAGGAATCTGGGATCTGTTTACAGAGAAAACACAAACTTCTTTATTAAGCCATATCTCTACCCCTTCATGCAATGTTTGTTTTGCACATCACATTAAGGCATGATTTATTTAAATATAATTCTTGAATAAATCGCAGTTAGCTAAGTTTACCTTAACATGCTAAACCCATATATTATGGCTTACTACAGTGTGTAAATTCAGTATATTGCCTCTTCAAAAAGGCAGTCTTCCAACATAAGTACTAGAAAAATGCTGCCTGTTACTTTGAACATGCTGCAGTGAATCAGTGTGAGCATAGGATCGTTTAAGGAAGAGGAGGAGCCCGATTATATATCTTAACTGTGGTTGAGAGAAACTATCTTGGGAAGCTTTTCTTTTCCTGTTTCCGCCAGCCCTTCTCTGAATCCCTCTCTCTTAAATGTGCACAAATGCACGCCTAGTCCAGTGCTGAGAATTCTCTCTTTGGCAGTTGATGCCCAAACTAGCAAAATCCTAATGAATGCTAGGTCAACTTTGTTTTCAAACCAAAGACCAGCATCAGGATTGAAAGCTGATTTAAGTCATTGGCTTAAGAGCAAAGGATGATTAAAAGACTACTGTTCCTCCACTGTGCACGCTGCAATAAAACATAGTTATCACTGAGCAGAAGTGGAGGGAGACGGGGGGACGCAGGTGGGCTCCTGAGGCAGCACAACCTTTCAGCTAGAATGGACTTGTCAAGCTAAGGTGCAACTCCTGTGGCCTCCCTCCCGATTGGGGGAGGCGGACTCTCCTGGGAATTCTCCCTGCACTGGTCCCTGTTGGATGGAGGTTGTTATTTTCCTCAGAGGAGCAGGACAGAGTTGCTCGGCTCCTACATGTTTTGCTGTTTCCATTTGAGGAAAGGCAATTGTTGTTTTCCCTTAAAAAGGAGGAATTATTGCTTCCACTTAACAAGGAGATTTTCGACAGTCCTTTCACATTCTGTAGACATGCCCTTAGTGTTATCAAAAGATTCAGAAGAAATTTCAAAAATTACATTGCTAGTGGAGTAGCAGGCAGATCCAAGTGTTCCTTTGCAGGAATCTAAAATAGCGTTCTGCAGTTGTATTCTTTATGTTTTATATTTGTCCTTGAAAGACCTTTTTCTAGGGCAGATTTCATACCCATGCAAAAATCTTTATCCCTCTGTTTTGCAGTACTGCATATAAAAAGGAATGAGCTTTAAGGATTAGCCTGCAATCATCTGACCCTTCATGTTTTGTCTTAAATTAGTTTCTTCTTCTTCCCCTCTGGCTGACACACAGGAAATTGCATATCAAACATAATTTTTAGACTTTTTTCTAATTCAGTCACCCCCATGCTCAACCAGAGAGATAGTCTTTTATTTCTGATGCACTTTTATTATTAAACTGAGATGCTGCTGGTTGAGCTTGGAAAGAGTGCTTTGGTTAGCTTTCAGTGGCACACTTGGAAAGTGTGGGGGTGCTGTCACTTTAGTCCTATATGGGGGTATTGGCTCCTTTTCCCCAGGTGGGGAATGTGGATAATAGTCTTTGGTAAAAAGGTGCTTCTCATGTGTTTTGAACTCTGGAGCCATTGTATTATTTGTAGTTCTGATTTAGTGCATTTATCTCCTCCTCTTTCTCAGTAATAGAAGTCAGGCAAGATACTTAACAGACTTAGTCTTACTCCATTTTAACAAGAAGGGTGCATTTTGTGCTCTTGTGCCTTCAGACTATGTCTGTACCCTTTCAGAGTTGTGTTACTTTAGCAGAAAAGTACTTGGGCAGCACCAGTAAACTGCCCCACAGGTCAATGTGCAGAGATTCTTATATGCATTTTTAAAGATTCTTTTGGCCCGTAGCAAGCAAGAAGAATGATATCATGACGCAATTGGAACAGACAGGACTATTGTGCAAACTGACCTTTTTGAAGGACTTCAGCATTTAATAATAATAACAACATCTGCCTATCCCAGGTCCTTGGGAAGGACTCAATAGGTGGGCAAAAGTGCCAAATCTAGTCTAAACATCTGGCTGTGCAACCAACCATAATAACAATAAATTTATATGCCTCCCGACTTTAGTGGTATTTAAGGGACAAAATGGATGCCCTAAGGCTTCAGGAACTCATATTGTTTGTTTAAAACAAAAGGGAACACATGGCCTCTGTGTTCTGCCAAGATTAAAATGAGATACCCATTTTACCCATTAAATTCTGACAATGCTGACACTACCCACTTACGATGGGGTGTGTGCATTGGTTTAGTACAAAAGTGAAGCAGGATAGTATCTCCCTTTTGCACCTGGCTTTGCCATGCAGGATCTTAGTAAAAGAGAGCACTTATGGCCTATCCACCCCTGGTTTGAGGTCTGTTTGGAAGTGGCAGCTGAGATTGTGGATAGCTTGTGGTTGAGAAATCAGGCTTACATATGGTAGATCTCTCCTTTGCAGGTTCCCCCTGTGGAAACAATTCCTCAGGTAAAGAAAGAAAAGCACAGTACCCAGGCTGCTAAGAACAGAGCCAAGAGGAAACCTCCCAAAGGAATGTTTCTCTCTCAGGAAGATGTGGAAGCCGTGTCTGCCAATGCAACCGCTGCCACCACTTTGCTCAGGCAATTGGACATGGAGCTTGTGTCCATCAAGCGACAGGTATGTGTTTTCTCCCAGCAACAGAGTGAGGCTTCTTTTTAATCGTCTGAAACATATTTTAAACAGAAGCTGCCCTCAATCTCAACTTCACAGCTTCCTGGGAGGATTTATAGCTCGGGTGAGATGTTTTGCATCAGGATGAGACCTGATTAACAAGCTGTCAGTTGCAGTACATTTTATAGGAGAATTATTTCAACTTGGCTTTCTATTTACAGTGCAGCAAGATGGATTGCCAACTTCCTGTATCTTACTCAGGACGTTACTATGGATTTCCATAAATCACAGTTTCTATGTTTCTCCATACTTTGGACTTTCTGAGAACTTTTACATCAGTCAATTATTTTATTGATTTCCATCTAAAGTCTAATTTCACACATTCAAGTATAAAATGTTAGAATATCTTTCCTCTGCCTTACCACTTCTGTGCACCTAGCTTTTATTCTTACATTCCCTCCATCGGTTAGAATATTATTGTACAAGTCATTTGTTTGGTCCCATAGTCATCTACGTAACCATATTCATGTAACTGTGGTCACATTCCTTTATACTTGTCATATTGCCTGTTGTACTTGACATTTTAAAAGATTATTTTAATTTCAGAAGCATTTAAATGGAAAATTGTGGATTGCAAAACACAGCTTCAACCTCCAGCGTCACTAGTGTTGTAGGTTCCATAGGCAGGTAGATAGATAGCTTTTATTATGATCAGACTTTGGAAAAAAGCTCATAGGCATTTTCACAAAATAAAAACAATAAGTGCCTGCAGCTCAGAGGGTAGGTTAGGGTTTTGTTTTGTTTTTTAAATGTCTCCCTGTCCAAAAGAAAGACAAAGGTAAGCAATGAGAATGTGATCATTTTAAAAATGTAAGAATTCCGCTGGGAACCATCCAACTTAGTATCCTGTTTTCTGCAACTATCAGCCTTAGAAAGTCACCAAAGAGGGTAAGAAGGAACGAGACTATTCCCCATTATTGCTTCCCAGCTACTTAGTTATTGGATGTTTCGGGGGAGGGGAAAAAAGGAAAAAAAGGACAAGACCCCAATCTTAGTTGGAGAGGGAATGGTGGTTCTTGGAGGAATGGGGACTCTAGCTTAAGTTAATGGCATGGGTGAATAGAGAATGTTTTAGAGAATATTTTAGATCATGCAGGAACTTTGGGTATTATCCATACTGAGAGAGGAACCTTTCTTTTCAGATTCAAAATATCAAACAAACAAACAGCTCTCTGAAAGAGAAACTTGAAGGGGGAATAGAGCAATATAGGTTACCAGAGGTAAGTTTGCATGCTAATGGGAAGTTACAGTTTTCTCTTTTCTGAAGTTTATAGAAGGGCACCTGACTTGCATGATAAAAGCTGATCAAATTTGCCATTTATACCCATAATTGCATTGGGCTGCAGAGGTCCATCAAATACTTCTGAGGCCCAGTGCAGTTTTGGGAATTAACCCAGTCCCCTTTTCTAACTCCAGTCTTGGAGCTAGGATGAGAAGAAACGCACAGTTCAAAATCAGGAAGATACCAAAAGCCACAGTCCAGGTGACCTTAAGTTTTGGCTTGGTTTGCAAAGCCAACCCATAATTGGAGTCTTGTGCTAAAATCATTGGCCACTCCCTTTATCCCCTTTTTTCTGCTATTATAAATTAAATGTTATTGTTAACTAAATAATGGACTGCCTCTGTAATTTCACTTGGAAAGAGATTTTTTAAAACATGCTGAGAGGAATAATGCAGGCTTTATTTAACAAATGACTGCTCAAGCAATCCATTCACTGTTTCATTTGTATACAGTTTGGGGGCTGGGGTTTAAAATCACATCTGTTATCTAAATAAATTATTCTCTTTATGTTTCATGACACTTAGGTAACACTGAAATTTAATGCACGCTGGACCACGGATGAACAGCTTCTTGCGGTGCAAGGTATGGTGTTGCAAATATATTCCTGACTATAGGGAAGATAACCCTCTGTCTTGATTTCTGATGGAGCATTTCCACATTGGCTAAATAATTCTCCAAATTTCTGCTTCTGACTTATCTCTCAGGGTTGATGCTAACGTTTGATAGTTGCAGCTTCACTTACCTCAGGGTGGCCAGACTCCCATTCATTTTTGCAGTGGAAGTTTCCCATACTCCAGATGATGATTGACCCAGTTCTTCATATTCCAAGTGATGGTTTTAGGTTGAAGTGGGTGGAGGTTGGCTGGACATGGTAGCCCCATCCATGTCTTCTACTTCTTGCGTTCTTTTCGTAAAATAAAGTATATATTCAATGTGTGTATTTTAAACATAATAAGAATAGTTTCTTTCTGTGTGTGCATGCACTGTAGGCACCATGTGCTCAGTTTCAGCTACTGCAAGTATACTTACAAGGGTGCACTTACAAGAGGAAGTCCTTGGGTTTGACTTTTGTCAGGTTGTGGAAGCATATTTGTTAAGGTAGAAATTTTCAATCTCTGGGTTGCAGTCCCCTGTGGGGTCAGTCATGAGCATATTTGAGGGGGGTCATAACTGGCTTGTCGAGGCAGAGAAGGAGGCAAGTCTTCTCAGACCTAACTTCTACTCTGCAGCCAGTGATACTGGGATCTCTATTGGATTGGTTTATATCTATCTGCGACTCCCTTCTGAGAGCCCTGTTGCTACTACCCACTGTGGAGAGTAATTTAAATAACCCAGTGAGGAGCTGAGATAGGGCTTCCCTTCCTGCAGTATTGGCTGGCAACTAATCTGCATGGAGATGGAATGGTGCCTGGGTAGATTCAAGTGCAGCTGCAATACATCTGACTGAGGGATGGTACCACTAGCATTGATGCAGTCTAGGCAAGGGAGGGCACCGTCGAGGCCAGGGGGACTTGTGCCATAGAAGAAACGCAGTGGTGGCATTGGGATCTTGCCCACAAGAGATCAAAGGGAAAGAAACAACTGCTGGAGTAAGAGGTATATTAGCCACTTACTCAGTTGACCCCACACAACTGGAGAAATTAATTTTTCCTGCAAGTATTGATATTCATATTATTTAATGATGTTATTATTGATGCCCACGCAAATTCATTTATTTTAGGGGATAATGGCACCCCCAAATTTGAGAAGCCCTGTATTAATCAAATGTTTTAAGAATGGCAGTTATTTGTGCTGTTTAATTTTTTTTTTGGTTTCTTTTTAAAATTATTTTGAAATGTTTAAACCAAGAAAATTAGAACAAATTTGTGTTAGATGGAATAGAAAAATGAACCAAACTGATTAGAAATGAAAGAATTTGTTTTGTAATACAGATTACAGAGTTCAGTTTTTCTTGGTGACGTTTTTAAAAAATTGAATAATTAACATTAAAACCACCACACGCACCTTGACTCAAGATGATGTTCTTGATCATAAGAACAGCATATTAGACAGCATATTATATATATTATGGTCTAGCCAATGCTGAAGTCCTCCACAATACTCTTGTATGATGGCAATCTTCTGGATTGCTCCATGTTTAAAAAGATTGTGGGGTTTTAATCTGTTTTTAACATTGTTCACCAGCTAGACTTTTGAATTGGATGGCCTTACAAATTGAATTGGATTGGATTGGATTGGATTGGATTGGATTGGATTGGATTGGATTGGATTGGATTGGATTGGATTG